GCAGAATGCGGGAGAGGTGGTCATCCTATGTTGTCGTCCGCCCACGAAAATATCAACGGAAAAACGTTTCTGTTTTTAGTACATCGTTGTTATTGAATCATACCCTGAATATACAGGCCTGTTGCCATAAAACAATCCAGAATAGCTAAAACATCTAATATAATATTCAGCTACTGAAGGATAAAATAAGGCTGAATTCAAATGGCAGAAATAGTTCTAGCATACTATTGTGAAATCAGCTCAATGTGGTTTTATGTATGTTCAAAAGGGTGGAAAAACAAGAAAAATGGAATCACCTAGTTGCATAAAATCCCACTCTGGAGTGCAAGTCTGGAGAATCATGACTATTAATGAAGAGGGAGGGATTATCATTAATTACCCAAAGTCTGTAGAGTACAAAAAGACCAAAGGGCAGCATCTCAGCAGTGTGACTAGCTGTTGAACAATGGCAGGAAGTTGGTGTGCTGTTCAGTCTCTGGCACTTTGTGTTTGGTTCTGTGCTTTCTGTCATGCTGTTCCGAAGTGGAGTGATCTGCCCCAGAATCCTCAAGCTCTGATGTTCCGGCAAACTGACCAGCGGTTTCAGAAGCCAGTTCAACAGCAAGCTAGTCAATGGTTTCCTCAGCAGGTTCAAAAGCCAGTTCAACAGCAAGCTAGTCAACGGTTTCCTCAGCAGGTTCAACAGTAAGCTAGTCAATGGTTTCCTCAGCAGGTTCAAAAGCCAGTTCAACAGCAAGCTAGTCAACAGTTTCCTCAGCAGGTTCAACAGCAAGCTAGTCAATGGTTTCCTCAGCAGGTTCAAAAGCCAGTTCAACAGCAAGCTAGTCAACAGTTTCCTCAGTCAGTTCAACAGCAAGCAGGTCAACAGTTTCCTCAGTCAGTTCAACAAGCTAGTCAACAGTTTCCTCAGCAGGTTCAAAAGCCGGTTCAACAGCAAGCAGGTCAACAGTTTCCTCAGTCAGTTCAACAAGCTAGTCAACAGTTTCCTCAGCAGGTTCAAAAGCCGGTTCAACAGCAAGCTAGTCAACAGTTTCCTCAGTCAGTTCAACAAGCAGGTCAACAGTTTCCTCAGCAGTTTCAGCCTAAGCAGCCAGTGGCAAAGGCAGAACCACTTGACAAATGTACTGTAGCTGATTATGAGCAGATCCAATGTGGACCACCTGGTATCAGTGGTGCTGAGTGTGCTGCTATCAACTGCTGCTTTAATGGACAGCAGTGTTACTATGGGAAGGCAGGTAAGAGTGTAGAGTCAATGTAGAGGCATTCATGTTAAACTGATCCTCAGCAATAACCTGCTCTTGTAACTCGTTCCAGTGACTGTCCAGTGTATAAGAGATGGTCAGTTTGTGGTAGTGGTGGCGAGAGATGTTACGCTGCCTCGATTGAGCCTGGATTCAGTCCGTCTCCTGGGTGGAAATGATCCAGCTTGCAGTCCTGTGGGATCCACACCTTTCTTTGCTATATACCAGTTCCCCGTCACTGCATGTGGCACAAGCATGATGGCGAGTAGCTGCTTGTGGTTTTGTTCTGCATGGCTTAGAATGGATTGGATGCCAACAATGTTACTATTTGCAGGAGGACAGTGGATATGTGGTGTATGAAAACAGAATGACCTCCTCATATGAAGTGGGTGTCGGACCACTTGGTTCCATCACAAGGGACAGCCATTTTGAGTAAGTGATGTATGCTTTATCATAAATGTGAATCATTGACAAATGCTACAAGCTCACTGTTTGTTGTCCAGGCTTCTCTTCCAGTGTAGGTACTCTGGTACCTCTGTGGAAGCTCTGGTTGTGGAGGTCAACACCGTTCCTCCACCTCCACCAGTAGCTGCTCCTGGACCCCTCAGGGTGGAGCTTAGACTGGCAAATGGTCAATGTGTCACCAAAGGCTGTGCAGAAGGTAAGTGTTTGTCCCAAGTATGCCTAAAGCCTTTCTAAAACTCCAGTTTCTAGTTAAACCCTGCATTCTTCCTCAGGGGACGAGGCGTACACGTCCTACTACAGTGATGCTGATTATCCAGTTACAAAAGTCCTGCGGGAGCCTGTGTATGTTGAGGTGCACATTTTGGAGAGGACCGACCCCAACATTGTCCTGATGCTGGGACATTGCTGGGCGACATCAACCCCCAGTCCACTCAGTCTACCCCAATGGGATCTTCTGGTTGATGGGTGAGTAAGGCCCGTCTTTATCCATCTAGTGTGCTGTAAGGCATTTCTGACTGCCTCTTTGCCTTTCAGATGCCCTTACCAGGATGATCGTTACCTGACCACATTGGTTCCAGTGACTGGGTCATCTGGTCTTCAGTTCCCGAGCCACTACAAGCGCTTTGTTGTGAAGATGTTCACATTTGTAGATCCAGCATCACTGGCTCCTCTGCAGGAAACCGTATGCTCTGCAGCCTTACCTCAACCCTTAATATTAGTGCTTTTTACAGGTAATTCTATGGCTTAACCCTTTCCCCCTCTGTTAGATCTTCATCCACTGTAGTACAGCGGTGTGCCATCCCTCCTCTGGCTCCTGTGAGCAAAGCTGCACTAGGAAAAGTGAGTGCTTGCTATAAGTTGACTTCAGGAACTGAGAACTTATTTAAATGCCCCTCATGCTTCTACCACTTTTTACAGGAAGAGACACGCACGTCAAGACCATCTCTAGTGGGCAAACTGTGGTGTCTAGTGGAGAAGTTAACCTGGTCAAGTGAATTTTAGTGTTTTAATAAACTTCATGAAACTCAACATGTTTCTCTTTGGTATTCATTCATTTCTGACTGGAGTTGGATGTTTCATGACTGTTCTCAGTTTGACTTCTAGGGCTGCACTACTAAGCCTTTTTCTTTCGTCCATTGAGATTCTTGACTTGAACTAAACAAGCCAGGTTTCTGCCTAAGCCATTTAACTTTACTATTTGCCAAGTTCTAGTTGTTCACTTGGGCCCCTGTTCATGTTTCACATATCAAATGAAGGTTTTAGCTACTGTCTGTTTGAGGCTTTACATACGACTTTATGGCTGGACTAGCATAACTGCATATATTGATGCCCAAACCCCCTCTAAGGTCACTTGTTGGCTTTTTGTAATGCTTTTTTTACAGTCACGCAAGTATAGACTCATATCTTGGGATAAAGGATGAGTGCAGGTTGATGGTGGTTTTATTCCAGGCTAGTCCCAGTAATGTTTATTGAAAAGTAGACTGCTTTCATTTAAGCATTAATCCCTTAACTGTTGTATCCCAACGAGGTAGCTGTCCAAGGCCTTGTTTACACCTGGTACTTAGAAGCATTTTTGTACATCAGGTCACAAGTGGACTGTGGTGTAAAAAGGGGCTAATTTTTTTTTTGAGCTTGTCTATTTTTGGCCACTTCCAGAGGTAGTCAAACACATTCGACCAGATTGCTTTCATAGAGTAGATGCTCATGTGTTTGAACAGCCACAAAACATGGTGTACCCTACCGCCTACTGACCTAGTACGTAAACATCTTGAGAAGTGCGCTAGCAGGTGTGATTTAAACTTTCTCTGCTTAGCCGATTTTTCCGTAGTTGCTCGACCATTTCTGTAGGTGGCCATCAGGATGTATGATTACATGCTTTAAATCATCAATTTGAGCAGCTCTTGAGGTTCTTATCCAGAATGTGAGATGAAATTCTTGCTGGTATAGCTGTGTTTACAGACTTTGATGAGGCCTGCACTTATTTCTTTGCGCTGTCCATTTAGTTGTCGTCAGCGGGAAAACCTCTCTACGATTGCGTATGTTGGTTGGTTATTTCCACAACTTGAACATAACGGCTGCACAAATAGATTTTTAAATGCCAGGCACAGTTTTTATTATATTTCTTACTGTGGTATTGTAATTTTAGGGAAGGAAAAAAGAATAATAATACAGACATAACTGAAATGCGGGACACTATTTATGTCTTGCGGGACAAAACTCACAATTTCGGGACTGTCCCGCTGCAGAATGCGGGAGAGGTGGTCATCCTATGTTGTCGTCCGCCCACGAAAATATCAACGGAAAAACGTTTCTGTTTTTAGTACATCGTTGTTATTGAATCATACCCTGAATATACAGGCCTGTTGCCATAAAACAATCCAGAATAGCTAAAACATCTAATATAATATTCAGCTACTGAAGGATAAAATAAGGCTGAATTCAAATGGCAGAAATAGTTCTAGCATACTATTGTGAAATCAGCTCAATGTGGTTTTATGTATGTTCAAAAGGGTGGAAAAACAAGAAAAATGGAATCACCTAGTTGCATAAAATCCCACTCTGGAGTGCAAGTCTGGAGAATCATGACTATTAATGAAGAGGGAGGGATTATCATTAATTACCCAAAGTCTGTAGAGTACAAAAAGACCAAAGGGCAGCATCTCAGCAGTGTGACTAGCTGTTGAACAATGGCAGGAAGTTGGTGTGCTGTTCAGTCTCTGGCACTTTGTGTTTGGTTCTGTGCTTTCTGTCATGCTGTTCCGAAGTGGAGTGATCTGCCCCAGAATCCTCAAGCTCTGATGTTCCGGCAAACTGACCAGCGGTTTCAGAAGCCAGTTCAACAGCAAGCTAGTCAATGGTTTCCTCAGCAGGTTCAAAAGCCAGTTCAACAGCAAGCTAGTCAACAGTTTCCTCAGCAGGTTCAACAGCAAGCTAGTCAATGGTTTCCTCAGCAGGTTCAAAAGCCAGTTCAACAGCAAGCTAGTCAACAGTTTCCTCAGTCAGTTCAACAGCAAGCAGGTCAACAGTTTCCTCAGTCAGTTCAACAAGCTAGTCAACAGTTTCCTCAGCAGGTTCAAAAGCCGGTTCAACAGCAAGCAGGTCAACAGTTTCCTCAGTCAGTTCAACAAGCTAGTCAACAGTTTCCTCAGCAGGTTCAAAAGCCGGTTCAACAGCAAGCTAGTCAACAGTTTCCTCAGTCAGTTCAACAAGCAGGTCAACAGTTTCCTCAGCAGTTTCAGCCTAAGCAGCCAGTGGCAAAGGCAGAACCACTTGACAAATGTACTGTAGCTGATTATGAGCAGATCCAATGTGGACCACCTGGTATCAGTGGTGCTGAGTGTGCTGCTATCAACTGCTGCTTTAATGGACAGCAGTGTTACTATGGGAAGGCAGGTAAGAGTGTAGAGTCAATGTAGAGGCATTCATGTTAAACTGATCCTCAGCAATAACCTGCTCTTGTAACTCGTTCCAGTGACTGTCCAGTGTATAAGAGATGGTCAGTTTGTGGTAGTGGTGGCGAGAGATGTTACGCTGCCTCGATTGAGCCTGGATTCAGTCCGTCTCCTGGGTGGAAATGATCCAGCTTGCAGTCCTGTGGGATCCACACCTTTCTTTGCTATATACCAGTTCCCCGTCACTGCATGTGGCACAAGCATGATGGCGAGTAGCTGCTTGTGGTTTTGTTCTGCATGGCTTAGAATGGATTGGATGCCAACAATGTTACTATTTGCAGGAGGACAGTGGATATGTGGTGTATGAAAACAGAATGACCTCCTCATATGAAGTGGGTGTCGGACCACTTGGTTCCATCACAAGGGACAGCCATTTTGAGTAAGTGATGTATGCTTTATCATAAATGTGAATCATTGACAAATGCTACAAGCTCACTGTTTGTTGTCCAGGCTTCTCTTCCAGTGTAGGTACTCTGGTACCTCTGTGGAAGCTCTGGTTGTGGAGGTCAACACCGTTCCTCCACCTCCACCAGTAGCTGCTCCTGGACCCCTCAGGGTGGAGCTTAGACTGGCAAATGGTCAATGTGTCACCAAAGGCTGTGCAGAAGGTAAGTGTTTGTCCCAAGTATGCCTAAAGCCTTTCTAAAACTCCAGTTTCTAGTTAAACCCTGCATTCTTCCTCAGGGGACGAGGCGTACACGTCCTACTACAGTGATGCTGATTATCCAGTTACAAAAGTCCTGCGGGAGCCTGTGTATGTTGAGGTGCACATTTTGGAGAGGACCGACCCCAACATTGTCCTGATGCTGGGACATTGCTGGGCGACATCAACCCCCAGTCCACTCAGTCTACCCCAATGGGATCTTCTGGTTGATGGGTGAGTAAGGCCCGTCTTTATCCATCTAGTGTGCTGTAAGGCATTTCTGACTGCCTCTTTGCCTTTCAGATGCCCTTACCAGGATGATCGTTACCTGACCACATTGGTTCCAGTGACTGGGTCATCTGGTCTTCAGTTCCCGAGCCACTACAAGCGCTTTGTTGTGAAGATGTTCACATTTGTAGATCCAGCATCACTGGCTCCTCTGCAGGAAACCGTATGCTCTGCAGCCTTACCTCAACCCTTAATATTAGTGCTTTTTACAGGTAATTCTATGGCTTAACCCTTTCCCCCTCTGTTAGATCTTCATCCACTGTAGTACAGCGGTGTGCCATCCCTCCTCTGGCTCCTGTGAGCAAAGCTGCACTAGGAAAAGTGAGTGCTTGCTGTAAGTTGACTTCAGGAACTGAGAACTTATTTAAATGCCCCTCATGCTTCTACCACTTTTTACAGGAAGAGACACGCACGTCAAGACCATCTCTAGTGGGCAAACTGTGGTGTCTAGTGGAGAAGTTAACCTGGTCAAGTGAATTTTAGTGTTTTAATAAACTTCATGAAACTCAACATGTTTCTCTTTGGTATTCATTTCTGACTGGAGTTGGATGTTTCATGACTGTTCTCAGTTTGACTTCTAGGGCTGCACTACTAAGCCTTTTTCTTTCGTCCATTGAGATTCTTGACTTGAACTAAACAAGCCAGGTTTCTGCCTAAGCCATTTAACTTTACTATTTGCCAAGTTCTAGTTGTTCACTTGGGCCCCTGTTCATGTTTCACATATCAAATGAAGGTTTTAGCTACTGTCTGTTTGAGGCTTTACATACGACTTTATGGCTGGACTAGCATAACTGCATATATTGATGCCCAAACCCCCTCTAAGGTCACTTGTTGGCTTTTTGTAATGCTTTTTTTACAGTCACGCAAGTATAGACTCATATCTTGGGATAAAGGATGAGTGCAGGTTGATGGTGGTTTTATTCCAGGCTAGTCCCAGTAATGTTTATTGAAAAGTAGACTGCTTTCATTTAAGCATTAATCCCTTAACTGTTGTATCCCAACTAGGTAGCTGTCCAAGGCCTTGTTTACACCTGGTACTTAGAAGCATTTTTGTACATCAGGTCACAAGTGGACTGTGGTGTAAAAAGGGGCTAATTTTTTTGTTTGAGCTTGTCTATTTTTGGCCACTTCCAGAGGTAGTCAAACACATTCGACCAGATTGCTTTCATAGAGTAGATGCTCATGTGTTTGAACAGCCACAAAACATGGTGTACCCTACCGCCTACTGACCTAGTACGTAAACATCTTGAGAAGTGCGCTAGCAGGTGTGATTTAAACTTTCTCTGCTTAGCCGATTTTTCCGTAGTTGCTCGACCATTTCTGTAGGTGGCCATCAGGATGTATGATTACATGCTTTAAATCATCAATTTGAGCAGCTCTTGAGGTTCTTATCCAGAATGTGAGATGAAATTCTTGCTGGTATAGCTGTGTTTACAGACTTTGATGAGGCCTGCACTTATTTCTTTGCACTGTCCATTTAGTTGTCGTCAGCGGGAAAACCTCTCTACGATTGCGTATGTTGGTTGGTTATTTCCACAACTTGAACATGATGGCTGCACAAATAGATTTTTAAATGCCAGGCACAGTTTTTATTATATTTCTTACTGTGGTATTGTAATTTTAGGGAAGGAAAAAAGAATAATAATACAGACATAACTGAAATGCGGGACACTATTTATGTCTTGCGGGACAAAACTCACAATTTCGGGACTGTCCCGCTGCAGAATGCGGGAGAGGTGGTCATCCTATGTTGTCGTCCGCCCACGAAAATATCAACGGAAAAACGTTTCTGTTTTTAGTACATCGTTGTTATTGAATCATACCCTGAATATACAGGCCTGTTGCCATAAAACAATCCAGAATAGCTAAAACATCTAATATAATATTCAGCTACTGAAGGATAAAATAAGGCTGAATTCAAATGGCAGAAATAGTTCTAGCATACTATTGTGAAATCAGCTCAATGTGGTTTTATGTATGTTCAAAAGGGTGGAAAAACAAGAAAAATGGAATCACCTAGTTGCATAAAATCCCACTCTGGAGTGCAAGTCTGGAGAATCATGACTATTAATGAAGAGGGAGGGATTATCATTAATTACCCAAAGTCTGTAGAGTACAAAAAGACCAAAGGGCAGCATCTCAGCAGTGTGACTAGCTGTTGAACAATGGCAGGAAGTTGGTGTGCTGTTCAGTCTCTGGCACTTTGTGTTTGGTTCTGTGCTTTCTGTCATGCTGTTCCGAAGTGGAGTGATCTGCCCCAGAATCCTCAAGCTCTGATGTTCCGGCAAACTGACCAGCGGTTTCAGAAGCCAGTTCAACAGCAAGCTAGTCAATGGTTTCCTCAGCAGGTTCAAAAGCCAGTTCAACAGCAAGCTAGTCAACGGTTTCCTCAGCAGGTTCAACAGCAAGCTAGTCAATGGTTTCCTCAGCAGGTTCAAAAGCCAGTTCAACAGCAAGCTAGTCAACAGTTTCCTCAGCAGGTTCAACAGCAAGCTAGTCAATGGTTTCCTCAGCAGGTTCAAAAGCCAGTTCAACAGCAAGCTAGTCAACAGTTTCCTCAGTCAGTTCAACAGCAAGCAGGTCAACAGTTTCCTCAGTCAGTTCAACAAGCTAGTCAACAGTTTCCTCAGCAGGTTCAAAAGCCGGTTCAACAGCAAGCAGGTCAACAGTTTCCTCAGTCAGTTCAACAAGCTAGTCAACAGTTTCCTCAGCAGGTTCAAAAGCCGGTTCAACAGCAAGCTAGTCAACAGTTTCCTCAGTCAGTTCAACAAGCAGGTCAACAGTTTCCTCAGCAGTTTCAGCCTAAGCAGCCAGTGGCAAAGGCAGAACCACTTGACAAATGTACTGTAGCTGATTATGAGCAGATCCAATGTGGACCACCTGGTATCAGTGGTGCTGAGTGTGCTGCTATCAACTGCTGCTTTAATGGACAGCAGTGTTACTATGGGAAGGCAGGTAAGAGTGTAGAGTCAATGTAGAGGCATTCATGTTAAACTGATCCTCAGCAATAACCTGCTCTTGTAACTCGTTCCAGTGACTGTCCAGTGTATAAGAGATGGTCAGTTTGTGGTAGTGGTGGCGAGAGATGTTACGCTGCCTCGATTGAGCCTGGATTCAGTCCGTCTCCTGGGTGGAAATGATCCAGCTTGCAGTCCTGTGGGATCCACACCTTTCTTTGCTATATACCAGTTCCCCGTCACTGCATGTGGCACAAGCATGATGGCGAGTAGCTGCTTGTGGTTTTGTTCTGCATGGCTTAGAATGGATTGGATGCCAACAATGTTACTATTTGCAGGAGGACAGTGGATATGTGGTGTATGAAAACAGAATGACCTCCTCATATGAAGTGGGTGTCGGACCACTTGGTTCCATCACAAGGGACAGCCATTTTGAGTAAGTGATGTATGCTTTATCATAAATGTGAATCATTGACAAATGCTACAAGCTCACTGTTTGTTGTCCAGGCTTCTCTTCCAGTGTAGGTACTCTGGTACCTCTGTGGAAGCTCTGGTTGTGGAGGTCAACACCGTTCCTCCACCTCCACCAGTAGCTGCTCCTGGACCCCTCAGGGTGGAGCTTAGACTGGCAAATGGTCAATGTGTCACCAAAGGCTGTGCAGAAGGTAAGTGTTTGTCCCAAGTATGCCTAAAGCCTTTCTAAAACTCCAGTTTCTAGTTAAACCCTGCATTCTTCCTCAGGGGACGAGGCGTACACGTCCTACTACAGTGATGCTGATTATCCAGTTACAAAAGTCCTGCGGGAGCCTGTGTATGTTGAGGTGCACATTTTGGAGAGGACCGACCCCAACATTGTCCTGATGCTGGGACATTGCTGGGCGACATCAACCCCCAGTCCACTCAGTCTACCCCAATGGGATCTTCTGGTTGATGGGTGAGTAAGGCCCGTCTTTATCCATCTAGTGTGCTGTAAGGCATTTCTGACTGCCTCTTTGCCTTTCAGATGCCCTTACCAGGATGATCGTTACCTGACCACATTGGTTCCAGTGACTGGGTCATCTGGTCTTCAGTTCCCGAGCCACTACAAGCGCTTTGTTGTGAAGATGTTCACATTTGTAGATCCAGCATCACTGGCTCCTCTGCAGGAAACCGTATGCTCTGCAGCCTTACCTCAACCCTTAATATTAGTGCTTTTTACAGGTAATTCTATGACTTAACCCTTTCCCCCTCTGTTAGATCTTCATCCACTGTAGTACAGCGGTGTGCCATCCCTCCTCTGGCTCCTGTGAGCAAAGCTGCACTAGGAAAAGTGAGTGCTTGCTGTAAGTTGACTTCAGGAACTGAGAACTTATTTAAATGCCCCTCATGCTTCTACCACTTTTTACAGGAAGAGACACGCACGTCAAGACCATCTCTAGTGGGCAAACTGTGGTGTCTAGTGGAGAAGTTAACCTGGTCAAGTGAATTTTAGTGTTTTAATAAACTTCATGAAACTCAACATGTTTCTCTTTGGTATTCATTTCTGACTGGAGTTGGATGTTTCATGACTGTTCTCAGTTTGACTTCTAGGGCTGCACTACTAAGCCTTTTTCTTTCGTCCATTGAGATTCTTGACTTGAACTAAACAAGCCAGGTTTCTGCCTAAGCCATTTAACTTTACTATTTGCCAAGTTCTAGTTGTTCACTTGGGCCCCTGTTCATGTTTCACATATCAAATGAAGGTTTTAGCTACTGTCTGTTTGAGGCTTTACATACGACTTTATGGCTGGACTAGCATAACTGCATATATTGATGCCCAAACCCCCTCTAAGGTCACTTGTTGGCTTTTTGTAATGCTTTTTTTACAGTCACGCAAGTATAGACTCATATCTTGGGATAAAGGATGAGTGCAGGTTGATGGTGGTTTTATTCCAGGCTAGTCCCAGTAATGTTTATTGAAAAGTAGACTGCTTTCATTTAAGCATTAATCCCTTAACTGTTGTATCCCAACTAGGTAGCTGTCCAAGGCCTTGTTTACACCTGGTACTTAGAAGCATTTTTGTACATCAGGTCACAAGTGGACTGTGGTGTAAAAAGGGGCTAATTTTTTTTTTGAGCTTGTCTATTTTTGGCCACTTCCAGAGGTAGTCAAACACATTCGACCAGATTGCTTTCATAGAGTAGATGCTCATGTGTTTGAACAGCCACAAAACATGGTGTACCCTACCGCCTACTGACCTAGTACGTAAACATCTTGAGAAGTGCGCTAGCAGGTGTGATTTAAACTTTCCCTGCTTAGCCGATTTTTCCGTAGTTGCTCGACCATTTCTGTAGGTGGCCATCAGGATGTATGATTACATGCTTTAAATCATCAATTTGAGCAGCTCTTGAGGTTCTTATCCAGAATGTGAGATGAAATTCTTGCTGGTATAGCTGTGTTTACAGACTTTGATGAGGCCTGCACTTATTTCTTTGCGCTGTCCATTTAGTTGTCGTCAGCGGGAAAACCTCTCTACGATTGCGTATGTTGGTTGGTTATTTCCACAACTTGAACATGACGGCTGCACAAATAGA